TGATTGAATTGTGAGATTAATAGTGATTTTATGATATGTATCCTACCAATAGGAGTCAATAATCTACAAATTTCTTATCGTAATTCAATTGTGTTATCTTATGTAAATCTACATCAAACTCAATACCTAAAAGTGTAAATTCCCTATCCCCCCACTGCAAATTCAATTCAGGATAAAGAATTTCATTACTGTATTTTTTACTACCTATCCAAATAACATGTGTTTTTTCTATGTTTATTTTAAGTCCAGAAATATTTGAAAAAATTTTCAATTCTTTAATTGCCTCTTTTAATGAAATTTGTGTGCCATCTAAAATCAATGTAGTGTCATCAGCATACTGGGAAAGTAAAAGCGGGCAATTGTCAATATTAATATCATTTATACATTTATTATTTCTCAGTCTTACAGCTAAAATTTCAGCGCATAATATGAATTTATATGGAGCTATTGGATCCCCTTGCCTACAACCTCATTTAATATCGAAAAAAGATGATATATTTCCCCCTTGATTTATTGCAGACTTTGCATTTGTATGAAAGACTTTAACCCATTTTTAAGAACTTTTTCAATAAATTTCCAGGACAATGAGTCGAAAGCCTTTTCAAAATCTATAATTAACAACATTCCTGGTATATTATTTTTATCTGTATATTGCATCATAAATTAACCTAGTATTCTCCCCAACATAACGACCCGAAATAAAACCTGTTTGATCTGTGTTTATTATACTATTTAAAACTGTTTTTATTCTCCCTGCTTTTGACCCCGATGCAAATTTATATATAATATTCAGAAGAGAAATTGGTCACCAATTGTTTAGAAACTGTCTTGGTTTATCCCCTTTAGGTATACATGTTATTATTCCCTATCTTTGTGTAACTGACAATTGCCTATTAGTGTAACCAAATTGATTGATCCCACTATAAAGTTATTCAGCTGTTTCCAGAAACATTTTAAAATTCAACTGTAAAACCATCAGAACCAGGGCTTTTCCTTTTTTTCATACCTCCTCCATGAAGAGCCAGGGTCAAAGTCAGAGATCCACTTTGTGTTTGACCTTTGGACCCAAATGATCTTGACTTTTAACCCAGTGAGCCTGATCTTTGGTCAATTGACTTACTCTTTGATTCCGACCAACTTTGTCTCATAATATCATAACAAAATGTTCATCAGTGAAAAATACAAAATTTGACCTTGACCTTGAACCTTTGGACCATGTAACATTGACCTTAGGTCATTTGACTCGTTGTTAAGTTCTGAACAACTTTGCTTCATAATAACATAAAAATAATGTTCATCAGTAAAAAGATACAATATTTGATCTTGACATTGACCCAGTGACCTTGACCTTTGGTCAGTTGACTCCTTGTTTAATTCTGACCAACATTGCTTCAAAGTATCATAACAAAATGTTCATCAGTGAAATGATACTAAATTTGACCTTGACCTTTGATCTAGTGACCTTGACCATTAGTCAGTTGACTCTTTGTTGAATTCCGATCAACTTTACTTCATAATGTCATAACAAAATGTTCATCAGTGAAATGATACTAAATTGGACCTTGACCTTTGATCTTGTGACCTTGACCATAAGTCAGTTGACTCTTTGTGGAATTCCAACCAACTTTGCTTCATAATGTCATAACAAAATGTTCATCAGGGAAAAGATACAAAATTTGACCTTGATCTTTGACCCAGTGACCTTGACCTTTGGTCAATTGACTCCTTGTTTAATTCTGAGCAGCATTGCTTCAAAGCATCATAACGAAATATTCACCAGTGGAAATATACAAAATTTAACCTTGACCTTTGATCCAATGACCTTGACCTTTGTTCAGTTGACTCCTTATTTAATTCTGACCAACATTGCTTCATAGTGTCATAACAAAATGTTCATCAGTGAAAAAATGCAAAAATAGACCTGGACCTTTGAACCTAATGACCTTGACCTTTGACCTCATCTTTTTACCTCAGTGTGTCTCTTTGTTTAATTTCGACCGAACTTTTCTTCATAATGTCATAAAATGCTCATTAGTGAAAAGCTACAAAATTTGACATAGACCTTCGGTCAGTTGACTCCTTGTTTAATTCTGATCAACTTTGCTTCCTCATGTCATAACAAAATGATCATCAGTGAAAAGATGCAAAATTTGACCCTGACCTTTAATTGAACCTTATGACATTGACTTTTGACCTGGACTTTTTACCCGAGTGTGTATTTTTGTGAACTGAACATCTGGACCAAGTTTCATGTAAATCGGTCAATTAATACCAAAGTTATTAGCCAGGAACAAAATTTGTGGAATGACAGACGGACAGACAGACAGACAGACAGACAGAGTGATTACTATAGGACACCCGTATCTCCGATACGGGACCCGAATTACAAGACAATAATATCTGAAATGTGTTCTAGCTCTGCACAGGTAATGAACAATGTTTGTAAACATGGGTATATGTACAATGGATGAGCTATAAGTAAGACAGTTCAAGGGTCAGACTCATCCACTGACACCACAGATGTACAGTATCAACACTGCCCACCTGCTTCTGATGCTGCCTCTGTTTATGTCCAATCATATCTTTCCTTTGATTCAGAAAGTTTTTGGAGTCCTGGATGTGTTCACTTATCACAGAGTCTATATTGTCAAATAACTCTACTCTATCATTGGATCCCACTTTGTCTATCAGTTGCATGTTTCCTTTGGTAATGTCTTCCGACACATAAATTCCTGTCTTTCGAAGTGTCTGTCTATTTTTCATAACCAAGTATTTGATGTCACTGTTGAAGAATTTCACTATCACCTGGCGTGGGGTTGTCAAGGTCATTTTCATTCTCAAACTTTGCTAGGCCCTATCTCAGGAAGCCACCAGCCAAATATGACGATTCTATACCTTTCACTTCTTCAGAAGAAGTCGTTTGAAGTGTTTGACATACTTGACCCCTGTGACCTTGAAAGTAGGTCAAGGCCATTTTTGTTCTCAAACTTTGTCGGGCTCCTACCAACAAAGCTTTCAGTCAAATATCATGACTCTCGGCCTGTCCGTTCTTCAGAAGAAGTTGTTTAAAGGAAAAGTTGATGGATGAAGACGAACGGATGGACGAGAGACACCGCACCATGACATAAGCTAACTTGCCCTTTTCATTATTTTAAAGAGACTGTTGGAGGTCAAGGTCATTCATCTGAACAATTTGGATAGAGCATCCCAACTTACTACTGATGAAATAGTAAATAAAAGTTTAGCATATTTGACTCCAGTAACCTTAAACGAAGGTTACCTGTGATAACTTACCTACCCCTACCATATGTAGATAACAACAGTTTACCTGTGTTGTATTTACCTGTGATGACTTACCTATGATATGTAGGTAACAACAGTTTACCTGTGGTATATTTACCTACCCTATGTAGGTAACAGTTTACCTGTGGTATATTTACCTACCATATGTAGGTAACATCAGTTTATCTGTGGTATATTTAACTACCATATGTAAGTAACAACAGTTTACCTGTGGTAATGTAACTGGGATAATATTTGTAATGTATATGTTATTTTAATATTATATATGCATAGCGCTGTGAGTCCTAGTATTCGTACGTACTGTATTGTCAATGTGCTGTGAATGTCCGTGTACCTGTACTGTCCGTGTCACGTGATGTATGTTACATGTGGTATGCATGTACCTGGTAGGTGTAAGGTAAGAGTGTGCATGCAAGTGCCTCGTTTTGGTTTTATATGGTCAGTGTCTTTGTGTAAGTTTGGCGCGTAAGTCATTCATATCTGACATTTGACAGCGGACATGTTCAGTGGACGGAGCTAGAAAAGTAGTACGGGGAATCGAAATAATTGGTACGTACTTAATGTATTTTAATAATTTAACTATAGGCATTATTATTCTTACTGTAATATCTATATATGTAAGTTAGAATAATATTGATTTGGATAAATTATCTCTTTTCCTGAATTACCATTTTGTGAATATCCGTCATCGATCATTTTGATGAGTACAATATTTGAAGTTAATTTTAATATCTTAAGTATATACAGATTTCATTGTAATTCAGTTGTTACCAAGCTAGTCTACTACAGTATGTCGTATTGACGACTCTTACCGATATTTCATCTTTAGACCCTTGACCCATTGTTGGGGTAGGTACATAGATAATGTACTTCGTGTACAATTCTGTATTGGACACGTATATATAATTTATTAAGTATTGAATAAATGTAATGTATTTTGGTATCTGTATAATGAAATGTATATTTCATTATAAGGTAAATGTTAACTTATGTTTCAAACTTTCGAGTAATTTAGATAAATTTAAAGCATATGCATTGTCCATATATGTTGTAACACTTTTTAACTATAATTTAATCAGTTTGTATTGTTTCCTTGTAGGGTCTTGAATGTCTTAAATATGCTTAAAGGAAATGAAATAAATGTTCATGAAGAACGAAACCGTCTTTGTTACAGTAAATTTACCTACAGTATGTAGGTAACAGTTTACTTGTGGTATATTTACCTACAGTATGTAGGTAACAGTTTACGTGTGGTATATTTACCTACAGTATGTAGGTAACAGTTTACCTGTGGTATATTTATCTACAATATTTAGGTAAAAACAATTTACCTGTATTGACTTACCAATGATATTAAGGTAACATCAGTTTATCTGTGGAATATTTACCTACGATATGTAAGTAACAACAGTTTACCTGTGGTATATTTACCTACAATATGTAGGTAACAGTTTACCTGTGGTATATTTATCTACAATATGTAGATAAAAACAGTTTACCTGTGTTATATTTACCTGTGATGACTTACCAATGATATGTAAGTAACAACAGTTTACCTGTGGTATATTTACCTACCATATGTAGGTAACAGTTTACCTGTGGTATATTTACCTATGATATGTAAGTAACAACAGTTTACCTGTGGTATATTTACCTACCATATGTAGGTAACATCAGTTTATCTGTGGTATATTTACCTGGTGGGGAGGCGAACATCACCAGCATGTCTTTGTGACAAGGGATGGCGGTAACCTCCACCCTCTCAATTTCCGGTAATCTATCTGTGATCCCCCTGGGTTTTGACAGTTGGCTTCCTCCGGTGTCGGCCTGATCAGTGGGCGTATCTTCAGGGGTTATCCCCTCAATGTGTTGGATTCCTGGTAAACTGTCACCTTCAGGAACAACGTCTTTGTATTGCTTGGTGTATGATGACCTGTCCCTGTATCTGATGTCATCATGTCCCGTCTGTGTTGAGTAAAAACACAAACAATCTGTACATACTTGCCACTACAGGGCTTAAAACTGCTTCTTGAAATGTTATGCAAGTAATCAAAAAGTTATCCTGCTTATTTACGAACTCAATAGGAAAACTAAAAGTTCTTTTTTATCATCATATGTAGGAACATTAAGAAATGAAATTACTATGAACGGTGATCACTGATGTAACCTTAAAGCAGACAATGCAAGTGATAATGTTTCTAATGAGGGACTGACATTTTAGTTTGAGCTTGCGTATAATTAGAAGCTAGAATGGGTCTGGTTGGGAATAAAAAGCGCATTACCTGTCAAGCGGTTATCATTCTACCAACGGCCGTTTTTGTTACATTCCCCCCCACAATGGTATACTTTTAATAAAAGTGACCTTGACCTTAACCTTGACCTTACAAACTTTTTAACACCTATTACAAAATCAATGTTACACAGTGTATTAATGTATCAATATGTTTGATATCAAGATCATTTTTTTGGATTCACGATAATCTTCCGCTAGGATTTCCTGACTTCTATAGAGAACACACTTCTCCCTCCTCCGACCCTCAATGGTCTACTGTCCATAAACTGTCCTAATCAACTTACAATGTAATTAGAGTCCTTTTCCACGATAAACATTTTTACTTCTCTGTCCTAACCATCTTAATAAGAATGCCTGTCTGTAAGATAACCTATCTTACTTCTCTGTCTTCATCATCGTAATCAGAATGCCTGTCTGTAAGATAACCTATCTAATTTCTCTGTCCTAACCATCTTAATAAGAATCCTTGTCTGTAAGACAAAAGGTCCATTGGACCTGTATCGCTCACCTGGTTTTATATTTAAGTCATTCCAACTGAATGCATTAGTACATCTTTTTATGAAATTTCCTCAAATCCAGACAAGATCTATGTTCTAACCCAACTGGGACCACAATACATGTATCTGACTTTCAACTAATCAGGGGCCCCCAATGAGTTGCCATGTTAACAGATTTTGAAATAAGTAATATGTCATATTACAGGGTGTAATTAGATAATACTTTAATTTTTATTCAACTATAAGCTTTTATAAACCTAGAAACCAATTTTTAACAATTTATAAAAACTACACCATAGCATATGATAATCTAGCTGTACACCAGACGCTGGACGCTGAGCCACGGCATAAGCTAACTTGCCCTTCGGCCAGGTGAGCTAATAACCTATCTTACTTCTCTGTCCTCATCTTCTCCATCAGAATCGTTGTCTGTAGTCGCTGTGTCATAGCCGTCAGAAAACTGGTGGTCCTCCTCCTCTTCCTCCTCCTCCTCCTCCTCCTCCTCCTCTTCCTCAGTGTCCTTACCTCCAGGACCTGTCTCAATGATTTCATCCAGTGCTTCAAACGGAACATTTGAAATAATTGTTAAGTTGATGTTCAATGTCTCATAGCTACACTATTATTACTCTCCAAGTCTAACTCTGTGTATTAACCTTTTTAGCTACAAAATAGAGCTTAATAGAATAAATATTTATAACTTCTTTTATCATGAAGCAAAATAACGTAAACACAAGGCCCAATGGGCCTGCATCGCTCACCTGGTATAAATATCATAATTGTAACCCTAAAAGTGATCTAAAATAAAGCTACAGACAAAATATCAGTATTTATGATTAAAATTGATTCAAAAGAACCTGTTAAAAGATTTTAAAACATTTCACACCTCTGACCTTGAAAGTTGAACAAGGTCATTATGTTTTATAGTCTTTTATCTCAGGATGCAACTTGCAAAATCTCACCACCCTATCCTGACTACTGCTACTGACCAGATATCAACATTCTAGGGCAAAAAAATATATATGTGCGTTTCAGGTAACAGTCTGAAAACAAGGGGCCCAGAGGGCCTGTATGACTCACCTGAATATGTTTAAAATAATTGGTATGAAGTAAAGATATAGCACTCCATGGTAGGTGCTGTAAGTACATATGAAATTTCAGAAAGATCCATCCAGTACTTGAGATATAGCGAGAACAAACTTCAAACAGAGCCCCACCCCTATGCTCCTAAGGGGGTCATACCCACCAATTATACAAAGTTGAGTCCCCTTGGCCCAAGGATGCTCCTGACTAAATAAGGATAAATACCTTAACTCTGATGGTCGAAGAAGGATTTTAAAGGTTGTACCTCTATTTCTACCTCTATTGGGCCCGCCTTCCTGCCCCCTGGGAGACCATACCCACTGCTTATAAAAAATTGAGTCCCCTTGGCCCAAGGATAATCCAGACTAAATTAGGATAAAATCCCTTAATTCCTATGGTAGAAGAAGGATTTTAAAGGTTTTACCTCTATTTCCCCTATGGGCCCAGCTGCCTCTCTACCTCCAGGGGGGTCAGACACACCGTTTATACAAATTGGTTCCCCTTCACCCAAGGATGCTTCATACCAAATTTGGACAAAATCCTGTCATTCCTACAGAAGAAGAAGGATTTTGAAGAATTTGCTATGTTTCCCCTATTGGGCCCCTTCCTTCTGCCCCCAGGGAGGCCACACTCTCTGTTTATACTAAATTGAGTCCCTTTTGCCACGGGATGCTCCAGACTAAATTAGGATAAAATCCAATAATCCCTTTGGTAGAAGAAGGATTATAAAGGTTTAACCTCTATTTCCCCTATAGGGCCCCACCCCTCAGGTCTTAGGTGGGCCACACCCATCGTTTATACAAAATTGGTTCCCCTTTACCCAAGGATGCTCAACACCAAACATGGACCAAATCCTTTCATTCCTACAGAAGAAGAAGGATTTTAAAGAATAATTTGCTATGTTTCCCCTATTGGGCCCGCCCATCAGGCCCCTGGGGGGCCAGACCCACGGTTATACAAAATTGGTTCCCCTTCACCCAAGGATGCCTCAGACCAATTATGGAACAAATCCTTTCATTCCTACAGAAGAAGAAGGATTTTAAAGAATTTGCTATATTTCCACTATTGGGCCCCGCCCATCAGGCCCAGGGGGCTTTTGACCAAATTTGGCCAAAATCTGCTCAGTCGTTCATGACTAGTAGCGATTTTCAGGAAAAGTTGACGGACGGACGACAGATGACGGACGACGGACAGACGGACGACGGACGCTGCGGTATGGCATAAGCTCACCATGGTCCTTTGGACCAGGTGAGCTAAAAATAGAGCATACATTGTAATGATTTACCACACATTGCAATGATTAATATTTAAAATTGCCACTGTTTCTGAATCGATAACCTAAGTGTGAGCAAGTCTGTTTATTTCTCAATAACTTGACTGTAGAACATGACCCAGTTCACCGCATATGAATATATATAAATATTGGCGGACTTCTTTCCGCAAACCTCATGTCAATGTTTACAAACAAATGCTAGCATTTAGACTACTGTGCGTTCGAGACACCAAATGATGTCGGGTTCGAGACAAGACAGATCATGTTCATGACCGGTCATAAAAATGAAGGTAGTGTCAGAAGCTACAGTCGCAATTGTTCGTCAATACAAAAACGCTCCACCAGCTCCACTCTCTCATCTGTGAGTGTTGGCCGCCATAACACAGAAATGATGGCTATCTTTCCTAGAAATGTAGTCTCATCTCCCAAATTTTACATCAACAGTCACTCGGCAAACAAACGATTTGTCCACATTATACAGTATACATGTCATCTGTACAAACATTCGGTTTGCTTACATTTAACTTCCACCAGGCCTAGGCTAGTCACTATCGCTCGACGACATAGTAGCACTCTCTATTTCCCGCCTTTGGGCACATCACTTTTAAACGATGGACGTCCGCTGTCATTAGTATTTTCTACAAAGTATTTTGCCCCAGTACCTCAATTACATACAAATATAAAATTATTTATTCCATTACCTACTAATACAATTATGAAGATAGTGTAAGAAGTAAAATATGGATATTTGATGTGAATACAAATATTGAAATGGACTGAGGACCATTTTTTTTATATAGGGTAGGTCAGGATACCAGTAAAGTCCAGGGTAGGTCGGGATACCAGTAAAGTCCAGGGTAGGTTGGGATACCAGTAAAGTCTAGGGTAGGTCGGGATACCAGTAAAGTATAGGGTAGGTCGGGATACCAGTAAAGTCTAGGGTAGGTCAGGATACCAGTACAGTCTAGAGTAGGTCGGGATACCAGTAAAGTCTAGGGTAGGTAAGGATACCAGTAAATTCTAGGGTAGGTCGGGATACCAGTTAAGTATAGGGTAGGTTGGGATACCAGTAAAGTCCAGGGTAGGTCGGGATACCAGTAAAGTCTAGGGTAGGTCAGGATACCAGTAAAGTCTAGGGTAGGACGGGATACCAGTAAAGTCCAGGGTAGGTCTGGAAACCAGTAAAGTCCAGGGTAGGTCTGGAAACCAGTAAAACCCAGGGTAGGGTGGGATACCAGAAAAACACATTTTAGAGGCCTTACCCTAGGGTAGGTTGGGGTACCTGAAACACACATTTTAGGGGCCTTACCCTAGGGTAGGTCGGGATTCCTGAAACACACATTTTAGGGGCCTTACCTGACTGTTCTGGTTTACTATCAGAACTGTCATAATTTGTGCTTGCTGATAATTTTCGTCTCATCCGTCGATATTTGCGCACCTTGGCTGGCACTATGGATTGGACATTTACGCCCAAGTCCAGAGCTTTACTGAGATCAGTACTGTCGACCGACTCTCTGCACGCCTGCCAATAGATATACCACATTCAACAGAGGAATACTTCAGGTGTACACAGCAACAGGGGAGGTAAATCTGACAGCAAAAGGGGAGGTAAATCTGACAGCAACAGGGGAGGTAAATCTGACAGAAACAGGGGAGGTAAATCTGACAGCAAAAGGGGAGGTAAATCTGGTTACAAACAAGGAAACTTCCTTTATGTAATCACATACTAGCCAACTTTTTGAAATTTTCATGTGGGAGATTTCTCATGCTCAGAACTAAAAGCCTCAATAAAATGTGTGTATTTACATCCTAGGGAAAACACAACACCTTTAATGGCATCTTTGGAGCTGTTATTTCAGATGAAACCAACAGCAAATGATAAAAAATAAAATAAAAAATTACTGTACATAACAACGCACTACAGCACAAGACCTAAACTCCACCAAGAGTACCGCGGGGCGGAACAATATACGCCCTTCGAATGCCATATTGTGTTATATACTTTCTTACATTGAAATAAGATCTGCATCATTCAAAGAGTGGTTAGCTGACATGCTATAAAAATGTAGGAGAAAATCTCTGGATAAAAAAATCAAATACTGAAATGAACAAAGGGCAATAACTTTTGCAAAAATCGTTGAATCAAAATTAATTTCAAGGAAACACAACAACATATCATGATTATTTAGCCTACTAAGTTTCAAAGAAATCTGTCAACAAATGTAGGAGATCTCCGGACAAAAAATCAAATACTGAAATGAACAAAGAGTAATAACTTTTGGAAAAATTGTCGAATCACAATTCTTTTCAAGGACACACAACAACATATCATGATTATAATGTCTACCAAGTTTCAAAAAGATCCGTTGAAAAATGTAGGAGGAGATTGCCGGACAAAAATCAAATACTGAAATAAACAAAGGGCAATAACTTTTGCAAAAATTGTCAAATCAAAATTCTTTTCAAGGACACACAACAACATATCATGATTATAATGTCTACCAAGTTTCAAAGAGATCCGTTGAAAAATGTAGGAGATTGCCGGACAAAAATCAAATACTGAAATGAACAAAGGGCAATTACTTTTGGAAAACTTGTCAAATCAAAATTCTGTTAAGGCAGACACAACTTCATACCATGATTATAATGTATACCAAGTTTCAAAGAGATCCGTTGAACAATGTAGGAGGAGATTGCCGGAAAATAAATTCAAATACTGAAATGAACAAAGGGCAATTACTTTTGGAAAACTTGTCAAATCAAAATTCTGTTAAGGCAGACACAACTTCATACCATGATTATAATGTATACCAAGTTTCAAAGAGATCGGTCAAAAAATGTAGGAGGAGATTGCCGGCCAAACAAAAGTTTACGCCAGACGGACGGACAACGCCATACCATAAAACTCCCGTCAAATTTGACGGGCGTATAAAAATTCCATAATCGTCAATATAGACGGAGGAATTATAAGGCTTACAGTTGAAGATGAAGATCTTGGAAAATAGGTATCAATGAGCAAATTCACTCGTTGAAAATGCTCTATTTTAGGGTCCAAAATCTGGAGTCTCACTCCTAAATAGGGAGAGTTGGCAAGTATGTAATCATACTGTCACAATATCCTTTCGACCGACTCCACTCTGTGTTGCTAGTTAAACCAGAGACACATAAAGCCAGAGATTGGCAACTCGAGCAGATCTCGCTAACACACGCTTGAGCCTATTGTTTTCGGAGATCCGTCGCGAGACTTGGGCTGCAGTTGCTTATATAGGTGGTATCGGCTTTTGTTATAAATTTTGTTTTATAAGTATTTGAGACACTTTTTTTTTATGGAACGCAACAATTAATTATATGATAATTTTTAGCATCATTAGATGAACTAATAGAAGAATATATCGTGATTTCAAAATTATGAGACGTCATCACTGGCAGCCATTACATTAATATACAGAGAAAAAATAGGCAAAGTTTTTATTTAAACTCCTTTTTTTCTAGACGGTCAATTTTAAATCTGTTCGATGATTTTTATTCTACAAAATTCTATATGTTGCGCTTCTTTGATTCAGCTTTGTGAAATAACTACAGCATTGCTAAATTCATCTGAGAATATACCGTGATTTCAGAATTTCAGAAAGTCATCACTGGCAGCCATCAAATTATAATACAGAATAAATATGCAAGACTAATGATTGAACTCCTTGTTTTCTAGATGGTCAATTATTAAATCAGTTCAGTGATTTAAATTTAACCATATTTTATTATTTTTCTTTTGATATATCAACTTCATAAAATATTTTGAATATTAATTGACATACCGTAATAAAGTTTCAAGAGTAAAGGACGATTCACAATGAAGCCTTTTTATAAGAGCATTGAAATGAGCATTTTATTCAATTAACACCTATTTGTTAGTTGTATAATTTTAAGCTTATAATTGGACACTCGAACGTACCTGACCAAAGTAACCCCTAGGGGGAGGTCATCACAGGTGTGAAGGTGACTTAATTACCAGTGAGGAGATCTAACGGCAGCCAAACTGACGGACGCAGGTGCTGGTAGGGGAAAAGAGCCTTAGGGAATCGGTACTGGTAATTGTAATCTTACTCCCCTGGCTAGTTTAAATTCTAGACAAGAGGCCCAATGGGCCTGCATCGCTCACCTGGTATTAATCTCACACTTGTAATCTTAAAAGTGGACTAAAATACAGCTACAGGCAAAATATCAGTGTTTAATTCATAAGAACCTATTAAAAGATTTAAACATATGACACCAGTTGTGACCTTGAATGTCGAACAAGGACATTATAATATTAGGTTGAACAGAGTTTATAGTTTTTTACAGTATTTACAAGGTGACATCCATGCGAATTGAACCGATAATGATAAAAGTTTGAGTTTTAAAAAATAAATATTTAAGGGTTCAAAACAGCCAAATACATTTCGATCTTTTCTTTTCAGAGGAGAATTGCTGAAATCACAATTGTTTGGCGTTCTTCATGTCTTGCAAATTCGGCTGTTGGCGGTCCTCGTCAGACCTATTTGTGTGACTGCCTTTAAGTGGTAACATGTTATACACTCTGCAGATATCGATGATCAATTCAGTTGGATTTGCAGACGATCAGAAAACTACTTGGAAAAGTATATTTCAAAACAAAAAAAGTAAAAGATTTATCCGTATATTAGATTGAATCTTTTCTGAAACTTACTGTTGTGAAAACAACATCGTTATATCCCAATTACCTGATCTGCCCATGCCAGGTGACCGTACGTGTGTCAGCGTGCAGATCTCCCCGTATTCGAGTTGTCGGTCAACGCTTACGTTATATTTGCCACATGCTTTCTTATCAGTTCCATGTGTTGGCATGGCTACCTGAACAGCATGTATGTATTTACACCTGGTCATCTTTTACCATTTTGATTGACAGGTGGAGATATATCAGTTGTAGCTTGGTCAATAATTTATCGGAAAATGATCATACAGAATATTAATGATGGGGTGATTACCATGTCATTCTGACATATTTCTAGTTTCTGCTTTGTTTTTGGAATGAACTCTTTTAGTAAGATAAAAAAACATGTTAATGAAAGGTGGCATACCTCCTTAAGCTGTTAACAATTTATACTTTATACAAGAAACTCACCTGAATGAAGAAAAGTTTTGGTTTCGCTCTCATGTGAGGACACTTGTCCTCAGAGAATAAATCCACTAAATCTTTTGTTGACACTGGCTTGCCATCAATACCGACTATGGCATTCTCCATCGACTTTTTCCCCGACATGTGACCTGTATGTCCTCCATGGGAACTGATAATGCAAATGAAGCAAGATCGTTCAGCAAGGTCTGGTCTATTGGAAGCTGAGTCAAAGAAAAATCAGTTACCATCATATATATCTTATTTTTTATGTTTTAGATCAGAGGATAACAAGAGGCCTTAGGACCTTACTATTCTTATTAATTAAAATCGCAAAATATCTCTGCCAACAGAGGCTTAGGAGTACATATTGGAATATTTTGGATCAGCAAAAAAATGGGGACCTGACATCTTAAAGAACATTTGTACCCAATCTGGAGTTAATCATTGCAGACATTCTTGAGAAAATGCCTCAGCCATTAAGACGCTAGGGGGGCAAGCTTATCAGATCGTCAGGACAAGTAAAAACACTTGTTTGGGAAATCAGAGGTCATGTCGGCCATCTTATGTTATTTTTGGATTAGTACAAAAATTAAGAACATTAGTTGGGGACCTTAGAGAGAACACTTGTAACACATTTGGAGTGCAGCCATTCATGAGAAGTTGAAGGTGTTTCCGCCAATCAGATGCCATGGTGGCCATCTTGGAATTGAGATCAGCATGAAAATAACTTTGTCGAAACATAGTACGAAACATTTGTAGTTTTGAACTTTTTTAACTTCTCAATATCAGAAGTGAAAACCTGTTTTCCAGATGATGATTTACAAAATTCCATTATATTATTGTACTTACCATAATTTAAGATATCTTTGATCTGTTTTGCAGTTTTATCATAAAATGGCATGAGTTTTAATTTGAGCAGTTTGAACAGTTTTTTCATGTTTTTGAAGTCGGTGTAGGCACCAGGTCTGTCGAGGTATCTTTCAGAAGTAAACCTCTCGTTGACAATAATATAAGCAAGGCCACGCTTCGGAAATTTCTTGAAGTCATACTGCATGTCGTTATCTTCCATATCTCAAATGTGATAGGTTCTCAGTGCTCCACTCCTGATCTGAAACACAAATGTGATAGGTTCTCAGTGCTCCACTTCTGATCTGAAACAATGTAAAATAATGAATTCAAAATTCAGCCACTAGATGGAGTGACCATAGGAAGTGCAATTCAATATCAAGCATACATCATAGTGTACTCGTACATCATAGTGTACTCGTACATCATAGTGTACTCGTACACCATAGTGTACTCGTACATCATAGTGTACTCGTACATCATACATCATAGTGTACTCATACATCATAGTGTACTCATACATCATAGTGTACTCATACATCATAGTGTACTCGTACATCATAGTGTACTCGTACATCATAGTGTACTCGTACATCATAGTGTACTCGTACATCATAGTGTACTCGTACATCATAGTGTACTCGTACATCATAGTGTACTCGTACATCATAGTGTACTCGTACATCATAGTGTACTCGTACATCATAGTGTACTCGTACATCATAGTGTACTCGTACATCATAGTGTACTCGTACATCATACATCATAGTGTACTCATACATCATAGTGTACTCGTACATCATAGTGTACTCGTACATCATAGTGTACTCGTACATCATAGTGTACTCGTACATCATAGTGTACTCGTACATCATAGTGTACTCGTACATCATAGTGTACTCGTACATCATAGTGTACTCGTACATCATAGTGTACTCGTACATCATAGTGTACTCGTACATCATAGTGTACTCGTACATCATAGTGTACTCGTACATCATAGTGTACTCGTACATCATAGTGTACTCGTACATCATAGTGTACTCGTACATCATAGTGTACTCGTACATCATAGTGTACTCGTACATCATACATCATAGTGTACTCATACATCATAGTGTACTCGTACATCATAGTGTACTCGTACATCATAGTGTACTCGTACATCATAGTGTACTCGTACATCATAGTGTACTCGTACATCATAGTGTACTCGTACATCATAGTGTACTCGTACATCATAGTGTACTCGTACATCATAGTGTACTCGTACATCATAGTGTACTCGTACATCATAGTGTACTCGTACATCATAGTGTACTCGTACATCATAGTGTACTCGTACATCATAGTGTACTCGTACATCATACATCATAGTGTACTCATACATCATAGTGTACTCGTACATCATAGTGTACTCGTACATCATAGTGTACTCGTACATCATAGTGTACTCGTACATCATAGTGTACTCGTACATCATAGTGTACTCGTACATCATAGTGTACTCGTACATCATAGTGTACTCGTACATCATAGTGTACTCGTACATCATAGTGTACTCGTACATCATAGTGTACTCGTACATCATAGTGTACTCGTACATCATAGTGTACTCGTACATCATAGTGTACTCGTACATCATACATCATAGTGTACTCATACATCATAGTGTACTCATACATCATAGTGTACTCATACATCATAGTGTACTCATACATCATAGTGTACTCGATCACCTATAGACACATGCATTACGTCAAAAAATACTTTATTATGAATTGCATTACTGAAGGCATGTGTCAAAAATTACATCATGAAATAATTATCAATCTTATAAATTATTCATTTTAAAGAAACAAGCAAAGAAAATCAAGACAAATAGACATTGAATGACAGTGGATATGTGTTAAACTTATACAGTCCCCATTGATATATAAGCATTTCTTAGGCAAACAATTTTATACTTACTTGTGTTAGGCAAAGTTTATATGTTCCTTACATGTCAGGCCAAAAAAATTACATGTGTTCTCACTACCATCCTCAGAAATAATACGGTAGGTAGGTAGACAATATTTTTTATTTATCTTATTATTTTTTTTAAATATTTTACTATGCTTATAGAGCAGGAGTTCTGACTTTAACAGTGCATATCACTACATGCCAATTAAATGTTAAAGGGGGCACACAAATCTTGGGTATGTAGGGTTAGCGGAAATACAATAAAAAATAATATTTGGCCTTATACCTGTGATTTATTTAAGGATTATCTCTCTTGCATTAATACTACTACATACTGTAATACTATTGTATACTATATTTTCACTCAGTCAAAGTTTCGCCCTTAGCTGGTGAAATCTCTATTCACACAGCGATAAATATGCCCTTTACTGTTGAGTACTGTGTTTATTATGTTGTTTTCCATTGATCACTGCTATGATAAATTTAACTTCATTGTGGAAGACAAAAAAGGTTAAACTGCGGCAAATATTTACCAGCATATCATTACCTAACCACAGTTACACAACTGTTGGTTAATTTTAACAAGTGGCTAGCGAAAAATTAAAATTAATGTCAATAGGAAGAAAGCATTTTCAAAGCAAAATTATTCCTCCAAACACATCATTCTTATCTGTCTGAACCAATTAATACATGATAGCTGTGATATTGTATCAGATGTCCTTGATATTGTTGTATTCACATTTTAAATTTCCCCCTGACCACTGGCTATAATTAACAAATCTTTTAGCAACTGCAGATCTAGACTGGACCATTTTCTGGTAGCTAATGTACCATTGTAGTCCTTCGTAGTTCTTATCAGTCTTAGATTAGTTGACAATGGTTAAATTCTTACATTGCTAATATTTTCTATAAATCAGTCTTAGATTAGCTGACAATGGTTAAATTCTTACATTGCTAATATTTTCTATAAATCAGTCTTAGATTAGCTGACAATGGTTAAATTCTTACATTGCTAATATTTTCTATAAATCAGTCTTAGATTAGCTGACAATGGTTAAATTCTTACATTGCTAATATTTTCTATAAATCAGTCTTAGATTAGCTGACAATGGTTAAATTCTTACATTGCTAATATTTTCTATAAATCAGTCTTAGATTAGCTGACAATGGTTAAATTCTTACATTGCTAATATTTTCTATAAATCAGTCTTAGATTAGCTGACAATGGTTAAATTCTTACATTGCTAATATTTTCTATAAATCAGTCTTAGATTAGCTGACAATGGTTCAGTTCTAACATTGCTTATATTTTCTAGCAAGAATTACGCGTAATTATATGTCTAGCCTGTCCCCCGCTTTGAGCATAGGATTCAATGTGTCAAGCATTGTAAGTTAGAGCTGAAGTTCAGAATTTTACATTTTATAAACAAGTTTGGCAATACATCAACCATCTTGTCAGATCAGAAAACGGATGCCGCGGTTGAGTTCACAGTGCAAAAATACACTTACACACCGTTTTTTAGCGAAATCCAACAATAACTGAATTTTCGACCAATCAGAAGCAAGTAGTCTGTGGCCATGTTTATTGTCTGATTCTGTTAAAACATTGACATTGTAACCTTAAGATGGTAATGATCATCCCAACTTACTGTCTAAGTTTAAGGAGTGTAAATATATTTTAACCGGTTGACGGTAGGAATTAGGATGTAATTATTTTCTCTTTGGTATGAGAACGCCAATAGGTGGCGCTATTGGTGGTATTTGCACGTGCAAATGGGCTGGGTTGTTACCTATACGTGTCATTCAGACGACACAGGTAACAAGAAGCACACGTGTATTTTTTAATTTTTAAATGGGCTTATTATATTGAGAATAATAAGTTTGTGTGTGAGATGTACATTATTGTGTATTTGTGTTTATTAATCATGATGATTGTAAATAAACATCGGTCAGTGCCTATGTCGCTGGGAAATACAATTTTTGTATTTGTGTTGTTTATCCTATTGGATAATGTAGAAGAGAACACTTGTTTCAGATACAACATATAACACACAACTAAACGCAAAAACTTTACATTGATGAAGATGCCGTCAAAGTCGCTGGACCACGAAATGTAGGGCACATTCAGCAACTGATGCATGGATTGAGTTGAAGTATATAAGACGCATGTATGGTCAAAATGTGGTTGGTGCTTTTTGAGAAACAGAGCTAAACTCAAAAACTTCACGTTGATGCTGCTGCCGAAAAAGTAACACCTAAGTCCCGCCTCCGCGAGATCCGTCGCAGGCGAGACAAAAATCAGTCATAGATTAGCTGACAATGGTTAACTTCTAACATTGCTAATATTTTCTATAAATCAGTCTTAGATAAGCTGAAAATGGTTGACTTTTTTCTATAAAATACTTGTAAACCTTTCGTGAATGTTATTATTGAAGTAACTTCTCTGTAGATCTATCAAATACATTTTTGTTCTTTTTTTAATGAATGGATTTCAAGCAATTTTTATGCAGCTTTATCAATAATATAATGAAAGTCATAAGAATATATGACTTACAATACATTTTTTACATAGAAAACATTGACACTTTGATTTCAGTGAAGAATCGACTATATTGATAAAGGAATTTCTATAATAATCAGAATTAGAAAGGTCAGACCAATCAATATAATCAATAATTAGCCCATCACTACCCAAAATGAAGAAAATTTCAGTAATATCTCTGAATTTCAACAAAAATAATGCTATATTCTCCCAAATCATATAGGAACAGCCTGTTGCAGAATTTAGGTACAAAAGACACTGAGATAGTGTAATAGGCCTTTAATCCTATGTTGACTTGGTTAAGTCTGTTTTATTATTAATTAACATTATGTCCTTACATTGTACACATGTGCCCACAAAGCCTATCTTCCCCGACTGATATTCTGTACCAAAGTTGGGTTAAAATGTTTTTATCTGTACTGAAGGAGTATAATATAAAAAAATATATACAACATTTGATATAGCGCCCTATCTAGCGAACATAAGCCCTCTACAGAACAAACATATACAATAATTACAATTAGCATATACCTTAATCAATACAATTTGAGGAATTCGCAGGAGCTGCCTTATCCAGCGCTATAACTACTAGTCCTATATGCTACCTGGCTATATATATCTCCCTATGTGTGTATGCCTGCGTGTGTGCTGGAGATGTAATGTGTTCTGTTTGTAGTGGGACAGTGCTTCCAACGGTATCATTTGTATTGTCACCTCATTTGAATGCTACAGCACAGATACCGCAACACCCACCCAGACCAATTTATACTCCACCTAGGATATTGGAATTATGTGGGCAAGAGAAAAACACTTTCTCTAACCACTCGATCAATATCCACCCATAGAGTAGGATTGGAGGGCCGGAGTGTTAACCACTCTACCAATATCCACCCATTTAGTAGGATTGGAAGGCTGGAGTGTTAACCACTCGACCAATATCCACCCATAGAGTAGGATTGGAGGGTCGGAGTGTTAACCACTCGACCAATATCCACCCATACAGTAGGATTGGAAGAACGGAGTGTTAACCACTCGACCAATATCCACACATAGAGTAGGATTGGAGGGCCGGAGTGTTAACCACTCGACCCATATCCACCCATAGAGTAGGATTGGACAGATTTATCTGTGTTTTAATACTAAATTCTCCTAACACTGTTCTCACTAAGTTTTGTGACTGATGATTTCTTTAAAAGAATAGCCAGTAGAATGTTTACTTGCTTAGTATAAAGTTGATATATAGGTCTTCTGAAAACTAGCTGGTGAAATTAGATGAATGCCAGCTTTAAGTAAGATCACATGCCTCCACCAGTGGCAGTGCTCCAGATAGCTTGCGTGAATGCGTATTCAGGCACGATAACTCACAAATAATGCAAAAGGAAAAAAAATCAACCTGCTTAATTCATTCAAGCAAAAACCAGAACAATGCATCAGCCTCCAGGTCCAATTTAACAGATTATAATATGCTTACAGTGAGTCACTGAGACATAATATGCAAATCAATGCCTCCTCTTACAAACGCTAACAAGATCAAGAATATTTCAGACAATTGAATAATGGTGCTTTTAAAACAACAATTGCTATTTAAAATTGAGTTATTCAACGTCTTTCAACATTTTCTGGTAACGTTGCTATTACAGCACTTCATGGTTCAAAATTTAACTTTTCACCCTCCACTTTGGAGAAGTATAGGGGTGAAAATTGGAGAAGTAGGGGTAAAAACCCAACATGTTCAAAAGTTATCTGGAGCACTGAGTGGGTGACCACATCCTTTTTTTATGCATTATTCACTCATTCACCGCTGAACTCTTCCAATTGAAAGGTTGGAATAGTTCATTACTAAGTTGCAGGGGTTAATGAGCTAAGTGTAAAGCTAAAGGTCCCATAAATAGCAAATAAAGTAATATTTTGAAGATGTTCCCCTGTCATCCTATTGGGCCCCATTCCGAAATCTGTGCTGTCAATGACCTCATTTATTTGTAATAGGAACAGCTAAATGTGAGGCCAGACTTGGCCGCTCCAAACTCTCAATGGACACTCTACCAATTGAGCAACCTGGTCACTGGTGATGGATCCCAGTTCAGTTCTGTTACGATACTCTCTCCTTTTTAAACCCAGGTTCCATATCATTCACCCATTACTTGAAACAAGGGTTGACAAGCTCACCAATTTTGTAACAGGAGCTGAAAAAAATGTGTGGCCCGACCAGGATTCAAACTTGTAACCCTCTGAACTCTAGACGGACACTCTACCAACTGAGCCACTTATCCACCCAGTCTAATTCTGCTTCAATGCAAAATAAATTCTTTCGTCAAAAATATATTTAACACATAATAAGATCAAAGTCCCTTGCCTTATACTGATTGAAAGAGCAATATTTTAAAAATCTTTCCCTAAATATTTGTTTGCCCAACTGAGTACCCCTGTTGCCTGAATGAAGACACTAATTTTGACAAAAAACTGTAAAAAGCATTATGTTATGAACTTGTCACACGAGTCTTTACAATGAAAAGTTGGCATACGGATGACAGATTTAAGCGAATGCTGTACTTGATAACAGTTTAGATTGCCTTTGGGTAGGTGACCTTAAAGTTCAGACAGTTCCTGACTTCGTCATTCATTTTAAGCTAAAAATAGTCTTACCAAGTAAAACTAGAAATAACTGTTGTTTACTTAAGAACAGAAGATTTTGGTTGAATTTTCCATTTTTTAAAGAAATGAAACACAAAAATAATAAGGCACACATCGAAACTGGTATTGTCTCAAGCTCTTATTAAAGATGGCTTACAATTTTTGAGTTGTAAAAATCGCCTGTTGATGTAACCAACTCAGCTTACTTCTGTCATTCTGATACGCGCAACATATTTTAAAAAAATATTCCATGGTTCCACACTAGACCTATTTAGTATCACAAAGGCCGATCGACAGTTTACACAGAAGTTTTGATAAACTTAAGCGAGCCAGGGACAGTATATAGAGCGAGCTTACCTGCCTTCCCTTCCACTAATTAGACTGGTCACCGTCTCTAGAATATTGAATTGTTAAGAAAACAATTTTAACTCTAGAATTTTTGTCTGATTCTAGAGTTCTTAACTGGTGGGAGGTAAGCTTGTAGTAAAATGCAGACGAGAAACTCTTAGAGACTGTAGCGAATCTATTCCGCTGTCCCAACTTTCGTTTTTGAGTTGGGTTTAGCCAAATAAACAAAAAGTAGATGTTTAAAATACAACTAAAATATATGTCACAGGAAATAAAATTCCGGAATATTCAGTTTTATCAGAAATCCAGATATTGTGAATTCTTAGCAGAATCAGAGACGTATAAAGCCATTTGTGTTATATACGTCTCTGGCAGAATCGTTATCGTAATTACTCGAAATCTTAAACAAATCGATGGTATTAAAGTTATTTTCTCTCGTTAAAATTCAGCTAATTTTTCTTATTAAAGGGAGTCTAAAAAAGGGGAAAGCAAGTCCCTTTTTACGAGAGAAAATAACTTTAATATCATCGATTTGTTTAATCTTCGAGTAATTGCGATAACGATTATGCTAAGAATCCTGAATATTCCGGAATTGTATTTCCGGTGACATATTTTTTAGTTGTAATATCTACTTCCTGTTTATTAACTAAAAAAACGAAAGTTGGGATATAGCGGAAGGGAAGTCAGGTAAGCTCGCTTAAATTTATCAAAACATCTGTGTAAACCGTCGATAGGCCTTTGAGATACTAAATAGTGTATAATCATGGAACAACTTTTAAGAATATATTGCGCGTTTCCGAATGACAGCATGAAGCTAATGGGTTACTTCAGCATAAAGACACGAAACTTGTGAGAAACAGGCGATTTTTATAACTGTCAAAATTTGTAAGTAATCTAGATCCTTGAGACAATACCAGTTTCGATGGTTTCCTTATTATCAACTGTTTTATTTCTTTAGAAAATGGAAAATTCCATCTAAATCGTATGTACTTCAGACAACAACAGTTATTTTTAGTTTTACTTGGTAAGACTATTTTTAGCATGAAATAAATGACGAAGTCAGGCACAGTCTGAACTTTAAGGTCACCTACCCAAAGGCAATCTAAACTGTTGTCAAGATTCAGTATTCGCTTGAATCTGTCATCCTTAAGGTCATATACACTATGTTAGTGTCTTTTGTACCTACATTCTGCAACAGACTGTTCCTATCTGAATTGGGAGAATATAGCATAATTTTTGTTGAAATTCAGAGATATTCTTGAATTTTTCTTCATTTTGGGTAGTGATGGGCTGATGATTGATTATAATCGAAAATCGATCAGTTTGACCTTTTCAATTTCGATTGTTATATAAATTCTTTTATCAATATAGTCGGTTCTTCATTGAAATCAAAGTGTCAATGTTTTCAATGTGAAAAATGTATTGAGACTTTTATTATATGATTGATAAAACTGCATAAAAATTGTTTTAAATCCATTCATTATAAAAGAATGAAACCTAGTGTATAGTTAATAACAACTCTGTCTATTGATGTTATGGTAGTGTTCTCACTTTATAAAACTGTGACATACTAAGCAGAGGAAATAAGCAAAAAATAATTTGAATCATATGCATTCACCAAATGTACTAATTCAAACAATAACTGGTTGTCTGGATGTAATTATTGTTGATATAATTACAAGTGGCCTCTGGCAAATCCCATAAAACCCACCAAATAGAGCACTTTTTGGTTGGCTAGGGGAAGCCACCTTTATTTGACTGTAAAAGTTGGCAAAACAATCACTGTGTATTGAGTGATATTAGTTTTGCTTTGTTGATATATGCAAGGATCAGTGATACAAGGTGACTGTGTGATATTCAGGCCCCTGTCCGTTTTGTTTTAGCGGTACAGGATATATCAGTTAATACACAGTGCAGTGATAAATTTACATATGAGCCCAGAGTCCTAAACTCGTAGAATTTTGATTGGACTCGTAGAATTGCTTGAATTACTGAAATTCAATATTGTGGGACCTGATTTTAGCAATAGAGTTGAAAAAGACCCATCAAAATAAATAGTAGATTGATCACTGCAGACCTGTGATATTTGTTTATATAGAGATAAGATACAAATACACTTATAGATACTAATCTGGCGTGGCTGCTATTTTTATTGTAACTCGGAAGGTCCTCTGATCAACTACTAAAGTTAGTCAGTGATTCAAGCTGATAACATTTAAAAAGTTAATCTTAAATTGTTGATGAGTCATTCATTTTATTCACGTAGCTATATATATACCTATTTATTTGCTGCAGTCTGATTTGTTTTTAGCTTTTTTTTCTGTTTTAAATTAAAATAGATATGAGTAAATATAAAGACACATCAAAATAGGATTTCTACCCTATAGTTGATCACAAAAGTGACTTATTTTAAACATTGTTTTCTAAAAATGTTAAAGTCAAAAAAGTCGAAAATTTATATCAGCAATTGAAAAAAAAAAAATTAATTAGAAATGCTATAAAATAGGTACATTGATTGATGAAATTCTATTATAATCATTTCATAAGGAATTGTAAATACAAAGGATTTCTTTAATACATAATGAAATGGCATTAACGGTTAATGATAACCTATAAAGCTTGTCTCCCTTACCTATATGTCCTCCTGGTAAAATACTAGCATATATTCAAGTTTGCTAACTTTTTTAAAATTTCCGAGGGGGGAGATTCTGCATGCTCAAAATTAAAACATTAATGAAATGTCTATATATCCCCCTCGAGACAAAATAACTTTTGACTTATTTTGAGTTGTTCTTTCAAACGAAATAATTAGATCTTGGAATATAGGAATAGTTTGGTTGAAAATGCTAAAATTAAAGTGTCCAAAATCGGGAGTCTCCCTCCTAAATAGAGTTGGGAAGTGTGTACTAGCCGCTTGTTACTGACTTGGCTAGAGAGAGTTTCTCTCTTTAGCTCATTTGGTAGAGTGCAAGACTTGTTAACCAGAGGTCCTGGGTTCGATTCTTAGTGGAGGCATTGGAATGAATTACCTCTGTTACACTTACATGCAGATAAAAGCGCATCTCTGTAAAATGTTGAGAAAATGGATATAAGAAAATGTTGTCAAGAATGTATTGTATAGATCTACAGAGAAATCACATCAATAAAAAAATCACAAAAGGATTACAGAATTGTGTTTTATAGAAAAAAAAATCTGGGTAACCATTGTCAGCTAATCTAAGACTGATTTATAGAAAATATGAGCAATGTTAGAATTGAACCATTGTCAACTAATCTTAGACGGAGATATATAGAAAATATTTCAACCATTGTCAACTAATCCAAGATTGATAAGAATTTCGGAGGACTACGTAAAACCATTAGCTACCAGAAAATGGTCCAGTCTCCAGTTGCTGAAAGATTTGTAAATTATAGCCAGTGGTCAGGGGGAAATTTAAAATATGAATACAACAATATCAAGAACATCTGATACAATATCACAGCTATCATGTATTAATTGGTTCAGACCGATAAGAATGATGTGTTTGGAGGAATAATTTTGCATTAAAAATACTTTCTTCTTATTGGAAACGGTTTTTAATTTTCACTAACCACTGCTAAATCTAATTAACCAACAGTTGTGCAACTGTGGTCAGGTAATGATATACTGGTAAATATTGGCCGCAGTTTAACCTTTTTTGTCTTCCACAATGAAGTTAAATTTATCATAGCAGTGATCAATGGAAAACAACATACTAAACACAGTACTCAACAGTAAAGGGCATATTTATCACTGTGTGAATAGAGATTTCACCAGCTAAGGGCGAAACTTTGACTGAGTGAAAATATCCCTGTATACAATAGTATTACAGTATGTAGTAGTATTAATGCAAGGGAGATAATCCTTAAATAAATCACAGACCTGTATAAGGCGCCCAAATAAAAATAAATATTGTATTTCCGCTAACCCTACATACCCAAGATTTGTGTGCCTCCTTTTAACTTTTAATTGGCATGTAGTGATATGCACTGTTAAAGTCAGAACTCCTGCTCTATAAGCATAGTAAAATATTTATAAAAAAAAAGATAAATAAAAAATATTGTCTACCTACCTACCGTATTATTTCTGAGGATGGTAGTGAGAACACATGTAATTTTTTTGGCCTGACATGTAAGGAACATATAAACTTTGCCTAAGACAAGTAAGTATCAAAATGTTTGCCTAAGAAATGCTTATATATCAATGGGGACTGTATAAGTTTAACACCTATCCACTGTCATTCAATGTCTATTTGTCTTGATTTTCTTTGCTTGTTTCTTAAAAATGAATAATTTTTAAGATTATAATTTTTTCATGATGTAATTTTTAACACATGCATTTAGTTATGCAGGTCACAATAAGGTAATATTTAATGCATGCTTTTGGTTTTTTTTGCAGGTGTCTATATATAGGTGATCGAGTATACAACGATATCTGCTTAATGTAGAATTGCACTTCCTATGATCACTCCATGTAGTGGCTGAATTTTGAATTCGTTATTTTACATTGTTTCAGATCAGAAGTGGAGCACTGAGAACCTATAGCTATCACGTTTGTGTTTCAGATCAGAAGTGGAGCACTGAGTACCTATCACGTTTGTGTTTCAGATCAGAAGTGGAGCACTGAGAACCTTTCATGTTTGTGTTACAGATCAGAAGTGGAGCACTGAGAACCGATCACGTTTGTGTTTCAGATCAGAAGTGGAGCACTGAGAACCTTTCATGTTTGTGTTTCAGCTCAGAAGTGGAGCACTGAGAACCTTTCATGTTTGTGTTTCAGATCAGAAGTGGAGCACTGAGGACCTATCACGTTTGTGTTTTAGATCAGAAGTGGAGCACTGAGAACCTTTCATGTTTGTGTTTCAGATCAGAAGTGGAGCACTGAGAACCTATCACCTTTGTGTTTCAGATCAGAAGTGGAGCACTGAGGACCTATCACGTTTGTGTTTCAGATAAGAAGTGGAGCACTGAGAACCTATCACGTTTGTGTTTCACATCAGAAGTGGAGCACTGAGAACCTATCACGTCAGTGTTTCAGATCAGAAGTGGAGCACTGAGAACCTCTCATGTTTGTGTTTCAGATCAGAAGTGGAGCACTGGGAACCTATCACGTTTGTGTTTCAGATCAGAAGAGGAGCACTGAGAACCTATCACGTCAGTGTTTCAGATCAGAAGTGGAGCACTGAGAACCTATCACCTTTGTGTTTCAGATCAGAAGTGGAGCACTGAGGACCTATCACGTTTGTGTTTTAGATCAGAAGTGGAGCACTGAGAACCTTTCACGTTTGTGTTTCAGATCAGAAGTGGAGCACTGGGAACCTATCACGTTTGTGTTTCAGATCAGAAGAGGAGCACTGAGAACCTATCACGTCAGTGTTTCAGATCAGAAGTGGAGCACTGAGAACCTATCACCTTTGTGTTTCAGATCAGAAGTGGAGCACTGAGAACCTATAGCTATCACGTTTGTGTTTCAAATCAGAAGTGGAGCACTGAGAACCTATCACATTTGTGTTTCAGATCAGAAGTGGAGCACTGAGAACCTATCACGTCAGTGTTTCAGATCAGAAGTGGAGCACTGAGAACCTATCACGTTTGTGTTTCACATCAGAAGTGGAGCACTGAGAACCTTTCATGTTTGTGTTTCAGATCAGAAGTGGAGCACTGAGAACCTATCACGTTTGTGTTTCACATCAGAAGTGGAGCACTGAGAACCTATCACGTCAGTGTTTCAGATCAGAAGGGGAGCACTGAGAACCTATCACGTTTGTGTTTCACATCAGAAGTGGAGCACTGAGAACCTATCACGTCAGTGTTTCAGATCAGAAGTGGAGCACTGAGACCCTATCACGTTTGTGTTTCAGATCAGAAGTGGAGCACTGATAATCTATAGCTATCACGTTTGTGTTTCAGATCAGAAGTGGAGTACTGACAACCTATCACGTTTGTGTTTCATATCAGAAGTGGAGCACTGAGAACCTATAGCTATCACGTTTGTGTTTCAGATCAGAAGTGGAGCACTGAGAACCTATCACGTTTGTGTTTCAGATCAGATTTGGAGTACTGAGAACCTATCACGTTTGTGTTTCAGATCAGAAGTGAAGCACTGAGAACCTATAGCTATTATAGCTATCACGTTTGTGTTTAATATCAGAAGTGGAGCATTGAGAACCTATCATGTTTGTGTTTCAGATCGGAAGTGGAGCACTGATAACCTATCACGTTTGCGATTCAGATCAGAAGTGAAGCACTGAGAACCTAGCACGTTTGTGTTTCAGATCAGAAGTGGAGCACTGAGAACCTATCATGTTTGTGTTTCAGATCAGAAGTGGAGCACTGAGAACCTATAACGTTTGTGTTTCAGATCAGAAGTGGAGCACTGAGAACCTATCACGTTTGAGATATGGAAGATAACGACATGCAGTATGACTTCAAGAAATTTCCAAAGCGTGGCCTTGTTTATATCATTGTCAACGAGAAGTTTACCTCTGAGGGGTACCCTGACAGACTGGGTGCCTACACAGACTACAAAAACATGAAAAAACTGTTCAAACCGCTCAAATTAAAACTCATGACATTTTATGATAAAACTGCAAAACAGATCAAAGATATCTTAAATGATGGTAAGTACAATAATATAATGGAATTTTGTAAATCATCATCTGGAAAACAGGTTTTCACTTCTGATATTGAAAAGTTAAAAAATTTCAAAACTGTTGAGCTGTTTTATTGGCTTCAAACTTCGTACAAATTTTCTGTATTATGTTTTGGCAAAGTTATCTTTCATGCTGATCCCAATTCCAAGATGGCCACCATGGCATCTGATTGGCGGAGACACTTTCAACTTCTCATGAATGGCTGCACTCCAAATGTGGTACAAGTGTTCTTTCTAAGGTCCCCAACTAAGCTTCTTAATTTTTGTACTAATACAAATATAACTTAAGATGGCCAACGTGATCTCTGATTGGCTTAAATATTTTCAACTTCCTCTCAGGAATGGCTCTACTGATTGACACCAAATTTGGCACGCATGTTCGTTTATGAATTCCCCAACAAGTGTTCTTACTTGTCCTAACGATCTGATAAGCTTGCCCCCCTAGCGTCTTATTGGCTGAGGCATTTTCTCAATAATGTCTGCAATGATTAACTCCAGATTCAGTACAAATGTTCTTCAAGATGTCAGGTCCCCAGTTTTTTTGCTGATCCAAAATATTCCAAGATGGACTCCTTGGCCTCTGATTGGCAGAGATATTTTGCAATTTAAATTAATAAGAATATTAAGGCCCTTAGGCCTCTTGTTTTCTTCTGAGCTAAAACAGAAAAAATATGATATGTACATGTATGATGGTAATTGATTTTTTCTTTGACTCAGCTTCCAATAGACCAGACCTTGCTGAACGATCTTGCTTCATTTGCATTATCAGTTCCCATGGAGAACAGTGGTCAGAAACACATACAGGTCACATGTCGAGAAGAAAGTCGATGGAGCATGCCATAGTCGGTATTGATGGCATGCGAGTGTTAACGAAAGATTTAGTGGATTTATTCTCAGAGGACAAGTGTCCTCACTTGAGAGAGAAACCAAAACTTTTCTTCATTCAGGTGAGTTTCTTGTATAAAGTATAAATTGTTGACAGATTAAGGAGGTATGCTTCCTTACATTAACATGTTTTTCATCTTTCTAAAAGAGTTCATTCAAAAAAACCACCCAGAAAAACTGTTAGTTTTACTTACTGTTGGCTACCATCGCCAGGTTTATCATGAAAAAAGTCAACAGAAAGAAATTCATGTATCATTTATACTTAAAAGTCATTACTTATGGAAACAACTTTTAGGTCATTATTATTTTAATGACCCTATGATGTGATGCTATAACTGTACATAAAGGTTTTGTTGTCTTAACTCTGTGTGTCAAACAATAAACATCAGCTGCTACATCAAAGTAAAATCATGGAATCAAAGTCAATCCAAACAAACCATTATGAGGGGACATGTAACACTGCTGGATTTGGTGATGATAGTGTCACACATTGAGTTTTACTAGCAACACAGAGCGAAGTTGGTCGAAAAGATATTTGTGACAATATGATGACATACTTGCCAACTCTCTCTATTTAGGAGGTAGACTCCAGATTTTTGACCCGGTGTAACAGCCACTTCTTTCCCCCCCC